TTTTTAATTCCCAAAACTATTCTCTCTCATTCCCTTTCTCTCTGACGTGTGTGTATAAAATTTATATATTGAATTATGGGACCCTTGTATAGTATTTATAGTTGAAAAAGTGGCTGAGTTACTGTAGAATTGGATAGAAAATATTTTCCAACGATTGGATAAAACTAAGTTTTAGTATTTGGATTATGTTTTAATAACAAATTCTTAATCATCCAAAATAGGACACTTGGACAATGCTATAATGACATCAAGCCTAAGTGCAGTTTGAATTAAATACAAATTCTAATAAAAAATTTTTTAAAAAGAATTGTAGCTATATTTACCCACGTTTAGTACCAACCACCAAAGCGAATTAACTAATTTTGATAAAGACAACTTCTTTAAACTTCAAAATCTTGGGCCTAACATATCTAAATCAACTTTTTCTCAAGTCAAAGACTTCTAATTATTTACGATCTACAAAGTGAGTTCAATATTGATGTACCAAATCTCCTTATATCATTATCTAATTATTTAGCTTAAATAAAATAGAAGTTTAGAGCTTATTCTCTAAATATTATATATGAAACAAATAAATTTCATTCTAAAAAATTTTTGGTGCTACCCTCCTTAAAATAATTTCCTCCTTGAAATTACTTGTGTTAGGGTCTTCTGCGGACTGTCCTTGGGCTAAAGCAAAAAACGCGGGTCATTTCCTTGTTTTCTAGCCCATCCCTCTTCTTCAAAGGGTATTTTTTTTCAATTTTTGGAAATATGTCATGTTTTGCCTCATCAATAGTGCACATGTTTTCCAAACAGACATTCACCCCATATGCATTCTGTTGCTCCTTAGACATGGAACAACTTGTACAAAACTTGATCCGAAGTTAACCTTCCTGTTTTGTCCTTTTCCTTTTTCTTCGTTCGACCTATTACATTTCCTCTTTCCCGAAGAGTCAACCCTTTGCTGATAAATTTGGTCAATCTCTGACATATTTGAGATTGCCTGGGCAATTTGTAATACCTGACTATAGGTGATAAATTGGTGAGATGCCAGTATTCCACCAATCTCAGAACGCAATCCCAGTTCAAACCTCTTTGCTTTCTTTACTTTATCCTTGAATTGTCTCCAAGTCAGAGTACATTGTTGTGATTCTGTTATATATATATATATGTGTGTGTGTGTGTGTGTGTGTGTGTGTGTGTGTGTGTATATATATGTGTGTGTGTGTGTGTGTGTGTGTGTGTCTATAATACTATAACTTATACTTCTATGAATTTGTGTGAGGTTAGAAGTCCAAAGTCGTGTAAAGGTAAGGAAGTTAAATATGAATAGACCTTTCATAGAATTTGGACGTATAGGTATAGGTTAGAATGGCATGCAATTATGACTTATCTATTTGTAGAAAACTTTATATAAGTGAGAAGGGGTCTAGGAGACAAAACCTTAAGTACATTTAGGAGGAAACAACTAGTGTATTTGAAGTGGAATATAATCAATACCTACCACAAACCACAAGTAAATTCAAGACCAACAACTAACATCTAAAGATGGATTTGCACATACCTACACATGGCTAACTCTCTTGCAAATTCAAATTTGAATAAACTACTAATAAATAACAATTTCTTTAAGCTTAAATATCTTGAGCCTAGTTTATCCAAATTAACATTTTCTCGAGTCAATGACTTCTAATTATTTATAATCTACAAAATGAGTCTAATATTAATATACCAAATCTCGTTCCATCATTATCTAATTATTTAGCCTAAATAAAATAGGAGTTTAAAACCTATTCCACTTTCGTCTCCAACTTTTCTAAATATAACATATAAAACAATAAATTTCATTCTAAAAAAAGTCAGGTGCTACAAAATCCTTGGGCGAAAAAAATTTTCTGATGCTTAAAAGGGCTCACATAAAAATTAATCTGCACTTTAAAGAAAAGAAAAATGCATTAAAAATAATAATAGTAATCAATTAAAATGCCTAAAATTAGAGGCAAATAAATCAATACATGGACCCATCCATGGTGTTTTGAACACCAATGTTGTAAAAATCAGAATTGAAGTGATGAGAAATCTTTCGCCTTTCGCAAACCTCAAATAACAAATGGAGTATAGGAGCTACTAGGGCATAAAGTGCGATGAGAGTGCGACTACAAACTAAAAAAGTTGGTTTGCCTATACCAAATCACCAAATTTAGAACATAAAAAATCTAATGGAGAAAACAAACAACGAATTAACATTCATAGTGCTTACCATAAGTTCGAGGCATAACAACTAAAGGGTTGGATAATTAGGGTGAACCTCCATTTACCTTGAACGAAGAAAAAAATCTCTTTCCAAGTATACGCTAGGGTGGGAGTGATTACCAATTCTGGATTAGTCTTAAAGAAGTAAGGAGAAAAGGAATAGTACCTCCTTTAAAGGTTCACTATATTCCCCAATGGCATCAGACGGTACATTGAAAGGAATATATCCAATGAAAATTTCTCATTTAGGCCTGCAAATCCCCATAACAAAAAAGAATCAACCAATTGGGCCCACTCATTCGAAGCAAGTTCGGAAGGAGCTATATTTAATAAGAAAAAGATATCTGTAAAAAAGTGATGAAGGAGACACTGAGTCCCATATTCATTGTATGTATATATTGCCTGGGGACGAGAAATCTACCATTTGAAACTGTCCATGAAGTAATATCTCTATATAATTAGGAAAATTAAAACGAATTCTAATGTCAGTCAGGTCCTGTTTAGAAAGATTGCTGAAAGTTCCTGAAGCCTCAAAAACATTTCCACCACTCTCATTAAGGTTAACCGGCATATTGGAGGTTTCGCCTACCTCATTATGTACCTCAACCCTGGGTCGACAACTTCCTGTTTAACCAAAAATTTATAGGTTAATAAGTGCATACCAAAATGGGTAAAGACTTGTAAAGGAGCACATCAATATACAAAACTTCTACAGAAGAAGTGGTGCTAAAGGTATCGCCTCTAGAACTAGAACTGTCAATGAAAAACATATGGACCAATGAATAAAACGTGATTCTTGATTGAATCGATTATTATAAGAGCCAATAAGAAGCCATCATTTGTCATTCTCTCAAAATGACCAAATTATCCCAAGACTTAGAGGAAAATCTATAAAATACCCCTTCATTTAAAGAAAAATGCATGCAATTCAAAAATGTATATCTCAAAAACCTATTTTTCTTCTTGCTCTAATTTGAACATCAAAATTAGTGAGTTTATGAACAAAAAATCAAGCTAGGTGAAAAGGATTTATTGATCATATATTTGCCTTTAATAACATTTCATCAACTTTAATAAAAAACTTTTAAACTCTAATTTTTAACAAAATTGAGCCCTCATTTGGTCCCCATTAAATTATATTCCATTTTTCTCTCTCATATTTTCAACCATACAATCTTTCATAAAATAAAATTATACGGAATTGAAATTTTTTTTCTTTTTCAACTACTCATTTTAAAAAAAAAAAACACTATTCTTTTTATTTTCATTACAAAAAAATGGGGGCCAAATGGGGGCTTAATAGAGGTTAAATATACATTTTCCATACTACTTTTTGTTTACTTATTTCTTTTTAATTGTATTTAAATTTAAATAAAAAGGAGTAATAATAATAATAATGAGGATCATTATCCTTTAAATTCCCAATCGGTGAACGAGACGGGTATTTTCTATTTGATTCAACAGTTGTCTAGTAAGTCACATAATCCCAATTTATCATGGAAAACTTTGCAAGTACAATTTTTTTTTCTTTTTTGGACATATTTAGTACAGAACGACAACTGTCTTCCTTGAATTTCTTATTGCAAAAAACTATTTTTGGCAACAGCCAATTACAATAAGATAGCTATCTTTTTGTACAAAAGCTGTAGAAAAATTTGTACTTGTAGCATTATTCATTTATCCTTGTTATAGATTTTACCAAGTGAAAAGGAACAATCCTTCTTGTTGTACAAGTAGGATATCTACCGAACACTTACATGGGGCCCACCCTGTGTGAGTAAAAAATTGGAAAAAAATACCCATCCCACGCACCTCTCATGCGAGTGTTATGAATGGTTCTGTAAACCATTAGTTTGTACAAACAATCTTATTAAAAAAATTGGAAAAAACAGTGTTACAAGCAGACTTATTGAGTGCGTTCTTAAGCCACGTTATTTTGAAAGAATGTATTTTTGAATAGTAAATTGATGGAGAATGCATGATTAAAAAATGAAGAAAAGTTTTAGATTTGTGTGTAATGTTAACTTATGGAAAATATATTATTGAAATCAAATTAAATCACTGTTTAAAAATGTATTTAATAAAATTGGCTCAAATAGGGCTTTAAAAAGGAATCGTACCTCAAATAAACCTTAGCACCTGACCCTCATTTTTTAAAATGAAAATGGGTGTATTAGTGTTTTTTTGAAAACTAGGTGGTTGAAAAATAAGGAAAAATTTTCGATTTACGTATACTATTATTTTATGAAAGATTATATGGTTGAAAATAGAAAAGAGAAAAATAAAATGAAATTTAATAGGAACAAAAGGGGTAATTTAGCCCCCTGTTTGGCCCCCATTTTTCGGAGATGAAAATAGTTGGAATGATTTTTTTTGAAAAATGAGTAGTTGAAAAAGAAAGAAAAATTTTCAATTTATATGTAATATTATTTTATAAAAAATTATATAGTTGAAAATAGAAGAGAGAAAAAAGAAATGTAATTTAGGATTTGTTTGAGCCACATTATTTTCAAAAAAATACATTATTCAACAGTTATTTGATATCATTTTAATCATATATTTTTTAATAAAATAATATTACACGTAAATCTATTTTTTTTTTATTCACACATTTTTCATTGATTTGATATGAATAATGCATTATTCTTTTTAGAATGTGGTTCAAACATGGGTTTAATGAGTACCAAACGGGGCTTAATCAACCAATCAGAGGCCTGGCTTGTTAGAGAAGCTTTCCTATGAAAAACAAGTCTCGCTCTTCACCTCTCACTAAAACCCCATTCCCCTGTATATAAACCTCACACCTCGCACTCTCGTGGTCCTTTCGCTTTGGTCATATTTCTTTCGAAGAGTTTCTCTCTCTGACGTTGCGCTTTCTCTCTCTAGTCTTTGATTCTTATCCTTTGAAGGTGTGTTTCTGATTCTCGATACAAGTCTTTCTCTTGTTATTGTACCTTAATTTGGTTGATTTGATCAGTTTTAGAACAATTTTTTATTGGGTTTCTAGGGTTTCTTGAATCTTGGATTTGCTTTGACGTTTTGGGGGCTGTTCTATGCTTTCGTCAAATTTTCTGTAGTTTTGTGGTTTTAGTACTGAATAGAATCTGAAATACATTGAGTTAGCGGGTTGTTGTGATTTTTATTTATTTTAATCCATATATTTAATATGGATTGCTGTAATGGAATATGGGTTCTTAAAAACTTTCCATTTTGTATTATTTTAGCAGTAATTGCTTTTGTTGCTTTTGTTGAACTATGTTCATAGTATTTTCTTTATGGATGTTATGTTATATGAGGCTTATGGTGTAGTCAAAATGCCAGGTCTGGTCAACAGATGTCTTTTGATTCTATCGAGAAGAACCAGTGGTTTCTTTGGATTGCTTTCTGTTTCAGGAACCGTCGGAGGCTTTGGTGTTCTCGTAAGGTCTTGTTTAGGCATTGGACTTGACAGTAGTTAGTATTAGTTTTGTGAGGAGGGGTGATTGTTGGGGGGCTGTGGTGTGTGTAATTGTGTCTTGGTGTTTCTTTTTCGGTGCAATCTGCTTTATTTTCTTTAGAAGGGGTTTTTTAGGTTGAGTGAAGTGCGTTGGAGTACTGTCAGTGGAGGTGTTCTATAATTGGTGTACTGTGGGGGCGTTCTATTGTCATTCCTTGATGGCAAGGACGTCCCTTCCTCCAGGCTTTCGATTCCATCCAACTGATGTCGAGCTGGTTATGTATTATCTCAAGAGGAAGGCTATGGGAAAGAGGCTTCTCTTTGACCCTATTGCTGAGGTCAACATTTATAAATTCTCTCCATGGGATCTTCCAGGTACTTTTTCTCTTTATAATAGTTATTGGTTCTATAACATACCTGGTACTTGCACTTCCTATATGATGATCTTTAATAGACAATTTTAAGATGTATTCTTTTACTAGCAATCTGAAACCCATTAAATATTGCAATTTTTCTGACTGTTTTAAAAGAGTTTTGTGTATTTTCATTTGAATATTTTTTTTGGTGGAATCCTGTGGTATTGTGTCTTTATATGTTTTCATTTGAGTTATCAATGTAATTCAAAGTTCATTTATTTCTCTGTCTTGCTGCAGATAAATCGTGCTTGAAAAGTAAGGATCTAGAGTGGTTCTTTTTCTGCCCTAGAGAGAAGAAGTATGCTTGTGGGGTTCGAATGAAGCGTGGTACTGAGAATGGATACTGGAAAACCACTGGAAAGGATAGACCCGTCCATTATAATGAGAATGTTGTTGGTATGGTGAGAACCTTGGTTTTTTACCTAGGTCATGCACCACAAGGACAGAGAACCAATTGGATTATTCATGAGTATAGGATCCTAGATGAGCAGTTGGCTGCTGCTGGACTTCAGGTTTGTTTTTACTATCAAATTCCAGAGTGATTGCAAATCTAATGATTTACCCAGTAAATGAGGTTCGTCAAAGTATTTTTTTTGTCATTAGCTTTTTATCTTTGACGTGTAAATTGATATGCGGGCTATTGACATTTTGGTAAATGATGAACTTAGATCAATATTTTATTTGCATTTCGGCTTTATCCTTGTTTATGTTCATATTCAAATTTGACACACTGCATTACGTCCTTCTGTTTTTTTCTTCTTTACTTTTTTTAAATTACAGTTTTCTGATTTATCTCAATTTCACTCCATTTGGTGCTATATTTATTTTTGAAACTGTGGCATCATTCCTACTTAAGACATTTAAAACAAAGATTGACTGTATTTGGACGTTTGAGTTTGGATGCAATAAAATGATTTAACTGTCATTAATCCAATTTCAAGTCAAGCAACAATACCATTTATTTATTGGTCATTATGAATTGCGTTAAATAACACCGTTGGTTAGTCACTGTCAACTCTGGAGATTTTGGTACCAGGCTAATTTTTTTTCCCTTCTGAGATTTCCACTCCTAGTTGATTGCTCTATAACTTGGCGTTGTTTGATTTAATAATATTATTGCTTTCTTCATATCCAATTATGTATATGAATTGAGGATGTTTCATGATGTAGAATTGGCCAAGGAGAAAAGAAGAAGAGGAAGAACAAACTGAAGGAGGAAGGGAGGAGAGGAGAGAAACGATATCACCACATCTATTTCATTTCATCAAAACTGCCATTTCAATCCAATTACAATAATATAAATACCAAATTAATAAACTTGGGCTTGGGCCAAACCCATATACAAGCCCAATAAAACATAAAACCTAAAATAAGTACATAGAAGATAAAATGGCCCAACAAGTGGCCCGATGAGGATGATGTCCGCATCAACTCTCCCGGGGTGGGAGAAAAACTCGACCCCGTCGAGGAGGTAGATCGAACAACCAAGGTCGACCAAGAATGACATGCCCGACATCCATAGGGATGACGTCACACCATATATGATCTTACACTAAACCAAAAAGGTTGGCGAGAGGAAAGGATTACATGTGATTAGCCCTACAGAGTTTGAACGGACAATCGTAAATGACTCAATCGTATTTGCTGTGTTTGTTATGGAAGTCCCGTCCGATTCCCCACTAGCAACCCCTACTGAAGCCCAATCCCTCCTTCAAGAATTTAAGGATGTATTTCCTGAGGACCTCCCTGATTTATTGCCTCCCTTACGGGATATCCAACATGCTATAGATCTGGTTCCAGGTTCGTCTCTCCCAAATTTGCCTCACTATAGAATGAACCCTACTGAACATGCCGAGCTCCAGAGACAAGTGGGTGAACTCTCATTCTATAGTGAGGCAAATTTGGGAGAGACGAACCTGGAACCAGATCTATAGCATGTTGGATATCCCGTAAGGGAGGCAATAAATCAGGGAGGTCCTCAGGAAATACATCCTTAAATTCTTGAAGGAGGGATTGGGCTTCAGTAGGGGGTACTTGGAGCATTGGTTAGTCCAAAAGGCATTACCAACCACACTCCTCTCCCCGTCCCTAGTTGTCCTTGGCAAGACGTTAGTATGGATTTCGTGCTAGGGTTGCCACGTACTCCAAAGAAACACGACTCCATTTTCGTTGTAGTCGATTGCTTCTCGAAGATGGTACACTTTATTCCCTGTAACAAAACATCCGATGCATCTAAGGTTGCTAAATTATACTATCATAAGATCGTCAGGCTATATGGTCTCCCTAAGACCATTATCTCGGATAGAGATGTTCATTTCACTAGTCATCTTTGGCGAACCCTATGGAGTATGGTTGGCACTAAACTGAAATTTTCTACTACATACCACCCACAAACGGATGGTCAAACTGAAGTTGTTAACCGCAATCCTGGTAATCTATTAAGGTGTCTAGTCCAAGAAAATCTTAGGAATTGGGACTTAATTCTTCCTACTGCCCAACTTGCATATAACAGTTCAGTGAATCGGTCTATAGGTATGAGTCCTTTTGAAGTTGTTCATGGTTTTAAGCCTAGGAAGCCATTAGACCTTATTCCCATGTCTCCACATGCTAGTGTGTCTGTGTCAGCTGAGTCTTTTGCACAACATTTGCGTGATTTGCATATTGAGATCAATAAACAGTTGGAAGCAAGTAATGCACTATTTAAACTTCGAGTCGATTTGCACAAACGCCACGTTGAATTTAATGTTTTTTTTTTTTTTTTTTTTTTTTTTTTTTTTTTTTTTGGATTATGAAATTCAAATATGTCAAGTTGATACTGCTGATCTATGTAAAATAATGAAGCGAGGGTCAAACACTAGTCAACAACTTAAACATGTAAAATAAATATGGCGGAAGCGGTTAAAATAAATATGGAAAGAGTGAAAATATAGCAAAACTGAGAGTTAGTAGGTCTAAGAGTTTAATCACATGAATGTTTTTATATAAAGATTGCAGTACAAAAGTTAATCGATGCAATTCAAGATAAACAGCAATATAACTGAGGATGAATTAAAATAAGGACTTTTCTTTCGTTCGTTTGAAGAAGTCGCGTCCAATCAACTTGAATGAATGAGGTACCTGAAAAGATGTTTGAAAAATAACTCTTTTTTTTTTTTAATAACGCTTTTCTGTCTTTTCTTTTCTTTTCTTTCTTTTTTTTTTCATTTAAAAAAT